GCGCGGCTGCGGCGGCGGCGGCGGCCTCGGCCGCTAGGCTGGTCGGATATGAGTGCGGTCGCGAGAGCGCGCAGCCGGCACCCTTGCGCTGGCCGCCCCTTACAGCGGGCTCCGGCCGGTCGCTGCCCAGCCACCTGTTATCGCCCTCCAGCCCCGCCTGCTCGGAAGCTAGGGAGGCAAACCGACCCGGGCTCCCCGCTGAGCTGGCGCCGCTCGCGGCGGACGCGTTGCTGGCGGCGTCGGCGGCCGCGGACTGCCGCCGCAGCCAGTCCTTGAACGACGGCCCGGCCTGCTGCTGCCGTTGCTGCTGCTGCTGCTCCCCGGCGGTCGGGCTCGATCGCACGCGCGCGATGGGCGCCGGCGCCGCGGCGTCGGGCGCGGCGCCAGGCCAAGCCGAGAGGCACCGCGCCACCGTGGCTTCGGGGCAGAGGGCTGTCGCGCTGCCGAAGTAGACGGTCTCCAGCTCCGCCGGGCCGCCCAGGCGGCAGCGGTGGAGGACCATACCGCCGTCTGGGGCGGGCGTGCCGTCGCACCCGGCCGGGCCTGCGCGCGGCGCGGCGGCGCAGCGGCCGCGGCTCAAGGAGCCTGGCGGGCAGACGGGGAGGCAGCGAGCGCGCGCAGCATTCAGTTTGAGGCTCTGGCAAGGGCGATGAAATACATCACGGCGCTGGGGCAGCCCGGCCGGCGGCGAGTCGCCCACGCGCGTCACGTGGGCTCACGCCGCTGCCAAGAGCAGGGTCGGTCGCACCCAGCAGAGCAGGCAGGCCCCGCTCACCGCCTGTAAAGCTGTTTTGTGGCATCGCGTTGCTCAAAACGGCTTCGCCGGCTGTTCCCAAGAGGTGGGAGAAGGACGCAGAGGCGTGGTCCCCCCAGCGGGGCCCTTGGGGCTCGACGAGCCCCCTGCCCTCCAGGAGGAGCATTGTGGGTACTGAGGCCACTCTTTGAAAGGCGGCCAACTCCAGCGCTGCACTAGTCGAGGGGCAGTGTGGCACGTGAAAGGGTCAGGGAATGCTGCGGCCGCTAACGCGCTGGATATCCCTTCAAAATAAATCAATGGTGCTCAGTGGTGGGGCGAGCAAGTTGCGCAGTTGGGGTTGGGGTCAGGTGGTTGCTGTCACATGCCACAGCAGGGCTGCGTCGATCCAGATCCGGGGGAAAGCGTGGCGCCGTGCTGCCTGACATGCAAAATCCAAGTCTTATCACTTTATGAAAAATCAGCGCACCAGCACCAGCGTCCATGTGCCTCAGGTGGTCCCCTCATCGTCATCTGTGGACCAAACTTCGCCTGTGTGCAACCCGCTGGACGGTATCGGCTTCAAGGTCTGTTACAGCGATAAAATGCCAATGGGCGTGGCTTTGGGGCCCTGCACGATTGAAGCGGCATGGCTGTCGGCCCGATGATGCAACCCTTCAGAGATGATTCCGGGCATTTTTTTTGCCCTGGGCCCAAGGCACCCGCGCCACTACAATAGATCGCCATGAAAAGCACCAGGCAGGTCTCAGGCACGATCGCAAGGGCGGCCAATGGGCCGCCGGCACGCCGTGACTAGGCGTTCGCGCCACCGCAGTGGTTTTCCATGCCTGGGCTCCTGCCGGCTTTTCACGGTCCCGCCGCGCTGAGGTTGTCCCGCCCACCCTGCGTTAGAACTGCGAGTTTCGCGTTCGTCGAATGGGAACTAGCCGCACGCTGCCCTGCTTTCCATCCTGCAGGCACCACCGAACCCCCCGACATGCACCGCAAGGCGAACTCCGTCGTCGAGCAGAGCCAGAGCCAAGCACACTTGCCTTTGCTCGAGGGTCGAGCGTCACCTCACAGGCCTGCACCCTCCCTGTGAGCGATCTACAACTGCAGGACACGCACCATGCACTGTGATTGTCCGCATGATTACATGTCAAGGCGGTGCATCGCCGCCAGACCAAGTACTCTACGTCGCGGGCACGCGCCACAGAAGCTATCTTGCCGCAATAGGGCAGCACTGTTGTCCAGGCGATGTCAGGGTAGCAGGTGCCGAGCCCCGTGCCCCAAGGCTAAAACCACACACGCGACCAGCAGGGGGCCACAGGCGCGCTTCGTGTCACCGCTTGCGTGGCACAATTATGATGCTGTGACTGCACGCACAGGGCACACAACAGCACACAACTGGTGTGAATGACAGAGACGTTTCTTTTTTTGGGGGGGGGGGACAAAACGGTTGAAACCCCACGCAGAGCATGACTGCACTTTGCGGCACACAGCATCGACAGACTACATTCTACGTGCGGCGGCGCCAGGGCTGGGTCGTTGGCAACGGGGACACAGCTCGTGGATGGGCTATCCATCGGCCGTGCCCATTGCAACCCGAGTGATGGGAGGCTCGCCGGTTGCAGGGCTGGCGGCGACGCCACATCACACAGCACAATCCCAGCCCTAGCGCGAATGCCGCAGCCGTGCGGGCAAAGCTGCCTAGCAGCAACGCGCGAATCGCAGGCGCGCTCGAACACGGCGCCGCAACTACAGCTTCAGTGCCGGCGCCCAGGGCAACCCGCACCACGTCCTCCTACTGCTGCTGCTACTGCTGGTTTTGCTGCTTCTGCTAACCCTGCTCCGGCGCATCCTCTGCCAACCCTGGCTTCCCCTTCTCCCGCTGCTGCTGCTGCTGCTGCTGCTGCTGCTGCTGCCCCTCATCCTGCTCATTCACTCCAACCCCTGCAGCCAGCGCTGCCTGTGCAGCGAGCTCCGCCTCCACCGCCAGCGCCACCTCCCCGTCGGCGCCGGCCCCCCGCGGCCGCAGGCCGCTCGGGCGGGGCCCCGCCGCGCCGCCGGCGCGCGAGGGGGCGGCGCCCGCCCTGTCGCTGCCCGACGCGTCATCCTCGCCGTCCTCCTCCTCATCTGAGTAGTCCCCGGTGCAGGGGTCCTCCGACAGGCCGCCCTCGCTGGGCGGCGCGGACCAGTGGGTGGGCTCTGCGGGGCGGCAGGGGGGTTGAGCGGCGAGAGCGACAGCGGCGGGTTGGGCGGGTGCAGGCAGCGCGGCGCAGCAAACCTGCCGGCGTTCCGAGCAGCATGGCAAGGGCCCGCGGCGATGCGGTGCGCCGCAGCCCTGTAGCCTGCCAAGCCCTATGCGCGCACCTGACATGAGCGCCGCCTCTAGCTGCGCCTTCTGCCGCCGCGCGTCAGCCAGGGCCTGCTGCAGCGCCCGGTTGTCCGTCTCCACGGTCATCTTGGTGATCTGGGGTGGTGGTGTCCGGCCGGTCAAAACGGTCAACTACCTAAGTTCGTCAGTCATGAAGGACGCAAAGCTATGCCGCAGCTCTCGGCCTCAACGCCACACCGGATCGCATCCACCGCTTAGGTTGCAACCATTCTGATGCACGACGCCGCCTAGTTGAGCCCCCCAAAAGCACATGCGTGCGCTGCAGCACCGCGCCAGGCGCCAATGTCACACTGCTGCGGCCGCACCGCGACAACAGGCCGCCACAGCGCTCCCTAACCACCACCGCCCCTGCTACACTAGACAAGGTGTTGTCACGCCGCAAAAGGGCCACGCTGGCGTCACCCGGGCCGCTGTAACATACCCCGTCACCGCAGTTTCACCACCCGCGCGTCACCCGGGGCGCACCTGCGCCTCCATCAGCGTGCTCTCCCGCTCGTTAAGCTCGTCCTCCAGCGCCGCTATCCGCTCCCGCATCTCATTGAGCGACGCCACCACCTCCGGGTCGTTGCGGCGCACCGCCGGCGTGCGGCGGCGGCGGCGGCGCTGCGAATGCGGGGCGCGCGGGGGCGGTCAGGAGGGCAGCCACAAAGGGCGTGCGCGGCGGGTCGCAGGGGCAGCGCGGGGCGCGGCAGGGC